TTATGTTCTCATTTGAGAACATAAAATTTGTAAATTGTATTATATCTAAAAACTTTTGAGAACATTAAAAATCTTTCCGAGAACCTAAAATTTAAATTTTATGTTCTCAGAGAACAAAAAAAAAGTTTCAGATCTCTAACACTGGTCGGACATGGACACTATTTGGATTAATCCATGTCCATATTTGTCCAAGTTCAAATAAAAGTTTTATTGGACATAGTCCAAATGCAAACACTGGGTTAGCAGGAGCTATAGTAAAATTATCAGCTGAGCATTCTTTACTTAATGAACGACTATGGTTTCATTAGTAAAATTCATAGTAATCTTGGGCAAAATCGATCAATTCCGGCCCATTTGGCCAGGATTCCGATGCATTCTGACCCGGAAATTTGGAATCTAAACTGGAACAACCGAAAAAATTGCCGATGACCGATACGTTTCTGAGCTCGGCCGAGTCGGTTACTTATTGATTCCGCGGTCATCGACAATTTTTTATTTTCATAATTCCTGGAACACCTGATAAAAATTGGCTGAATGATTTTCAGCCGATTCGATTAAATTTGTGATTTCGGCATAATAGATAAATACAGAAATATGATATTTTCAAAGCATCTTCACTGGAAAAATATTTTTAAAAAAAATTTTAGAGGCCTATCATTTCGAAAATTACCAATCACTTAGGTTTAGCATATCTTTTATAAGTCGGGTTCTTAAGTACTTTCAAAAATATTGATGTATTGAAAAGCTTCCGTTACTTTCAGCACCACGTTCACTGAACATGAATGATACAAAGTATTTTGAACTTTAATAAAAAAATATGGATCACAATCCGAGATGGAACTGTGGTTAGACGTCATGACAATTTGAAGTGCCACGAACCAGCTTGTATATACAAATAAAAGCAATATTTATTTATATACAGGATCTTCTTTTAACATTATAAAAGTTTAATTAATACATATATAGTGCATTTTTATATTCCTTGTTAAGACTTAATTGACACATTAAACATGTTGGATAAGCATTCGAACGAAAGTTTATGTTGACATTATTATTACAACGGTATGTAGAACAGTCATTATGAAACAAAAGTATTTTTATTATACGGATCTTGCCGAAATTACAAACTTAATCGAATCGGCTGAAAAATCATTTGGCCAATTTTTATCAGGTGTTCCAAGAATTATGAAAATAGCTGTAAATCCACTAATTATTACAGAAAATTAGTGGGACACCTGAAAATTTGCTTGTTTCCCGAAACCTTACGGATTCATCTTATGAACCATCTAACTCTTCGGAAGCCACGTCATTGTCTTCGGAACTTCGATCCGAAAATTGTGATGTGATTTCCGAAGAGCTAGATGATTCGTAAGACCTATCCGAAAGGTTTCGGGAAACAAGCAAAATTTTCAAATGTCCCACTAATTTTCATATCAGCTGTAATACAGAAATTTTTTATTAGCGATAAATTAATAACTAGAACAATCCATACCCGAATACTCTTAATATTGTTCTGGCCCATTACCAAGTATATATTTTTCTGCTGCCTTCAGCTTTATATTCCTTTCCATCAATTCGTTTTAACCATACGAGAAATTTGCAAAGAAAGTTTTCAAGCTCAAAGATTAAAAGCATATGCCAACCCTTTAATTACTATATGGGTTGAGTCAATAGAAATCAAGCTAATAAAATTTTTTTAAAACTTTAAACAACAGTAATATTTAATAAAATTTTTTTATAAATCTGCAAAATTAAATTTAAAAAAAAATTTTACTAAATTTGGTTAAGTTTTTGTAAGTTATTCCTTGTTTAAGGTTTTAAAAAAAGTTATTAAAAAATATTTGCTTGGTTTCTATTGACTCAACTCCATAAACTGATTAATATCAAAGCAGAATTAGAATGACTAATAACGTGGGAATAATAAAGTAATTATATTTGCTATTATTATTAAAGATGTTTTTTTATGAGCTTACAAATTAGCGATAATGGTTTAGAATTCCCCTTAAAAAGAGCTTATATCCGAAAAATTTCTCCTGATCGGCTAAAAAATAGGCTTATTATAATTTTTATTATGGTTTAGCACACTATGTAAATATTACGTGACTTGATTCTAATAAGTATTCGGATTTACTATTTCATTTTAGTGACCTGATACAAAGATACTTATGATACTTATACAAGAAACAACTACAGTATACGTATGAAGAATGAACTCAATAATTGCAGTATTAGGAAAAGAAAGTATGTACGTACAGTATTACTTTTTTTTGTGAAGCCAAGAGAATAAACAATATATAGCGATAGTGGATCCTTTTAATTGGTTAACCAATGTTGGTAGCTACAAATAATAAACAAACACGAATTAATCAATCATGCTGAGGCTGTGTATCATATTCTTTGGGAATATTCATGATGTACAGATGTACAGTACATACTTAAAAATGTCTACGTAATTTGTTAATTATTTTATTACTTTCTTTCCTTACAATAAAAACCTCTTTAAATAATGAATCGAATCCTTTGTTCATTGTTTATTAGCATTTTGATCACGCTATCATTACTAACTGAAATCAGAGCAAATGAAGATACTCTAGTAAGATTTCATTTGAAGATTGTTCATAAGAAAATTTGTTTAAATAACCAATTGTCTTTTAACCGAAATAGTCTAACGACGCTCTTTATCGACAACGATGTTCTGGGATGTATTATAAAAATGATATCCCGGGTAGCGGATCTGACTCGATAATTACTGGTGAGCATTTCAGAATAATTAAATAATTTGAAAAATTAATTTTATACATTAGTCTTAACACAATGTTGTATTATAATTAGTAAAATACGATCAATCATCAAAAACAAATGTGGCAGCAATCGTATATGACTGGCCTGATAATGACAAATTTGGTCATTCTGTTGGTTCAGGAACAAATGTAATTTTTTTTTCAATTATTTTTTCGGTTCTTTTTTTTTTTTTTTCCTACGCTTTAATTACCTAAAACATATAAATTATTAGAAAGTATATATTTGCGATCAAAATGCTATAGCAGCAAAATACTGCCCCCAATCGCAACTTGGTGGCTTCATTGTAAACACTAATCAAACGTCGAGTATTGTTACTTATACATTCAATGCTACAAAAAATGGACAAAGCTTCACATATACTATCAACCGAACCGGGTATTATTGTGTTGCTGCGTAAGTATATTAGTTGGAAATTTTGATTGCCGTAAATTCACCTTATAACACATTTTTTAATATAAAATTTAGACTTCCTTCTCCCATAAGTGATATGAAATTTCTCGTAACTGTAGATTGGAAAAACCCATATGGTGAATTGCCTGCCATGGATTATCCTAAATTGCCGGTACTTTTTTTGAAATTTTTTTTTTTTTTTTTTTTGAGTCTTATTCTTTTTTTGACTAACTTTTAAATAGTTTTACGGAGTTTTGACACTTGTTTATTTGCTTATCGGAATTATATGGACGGTACTTAGCATAATCCATAGGCATGATCTCTTGCCATTGCAGGTATAGACTTTATTTTTTATTTTTTTTTTGGCAATTTCTGTTTAATTACTTATACAATTTTGATGCTAGCACTATTTATCAGGTGTAATTCTATTTATTATAGTGGAAATGGCTTTTAATTGGGGATATTGGTTTAATTATAATATGTATGGAGATTCATGTAAGTCACATTTGCCATACGATTCTATGACTCTTCAGATAAAGTAAAGCTCACCATTTATTTTATCGTTAGCAACGTTTTTACTTTGCCTGGTTGCTGTGTTCAACGCCGGAAGAAATTCTATTTCATTCTTTATGTTGTTGATTGTTTGCATGGGATACGGTGTTGTCAAGTAGGAATTCATTTTATAAATTTTTTAACCTTAATCAATTTAATACAATGAATTCAATTCAGTAAATCCTCGTTTTTATGTTTTATAGACCATCTCTTGGTAGTACAATGATTAAATGTCGTATATTAACTTTGGCGCATTTTGTCTTTGGTGTTATATATGCTGCTGGTACATTGCTTATAGATCCTGAAACTGCAAGCCCTCTAGTGTTTCTAGTTATTTTCCCTTTAGCTTTGACAATGACTACATTTTACGTCTGGACTCTTCAATCAATCACAAATACACTTCAAACTCTTGAAATTCGTCGACAAACTGTCAAATCTTTAATGTATAAACGACTATATAGACTTTTAGTTTTTTCAGTAACAGTTCTCGCTATCTTCTTTGTAATTAATATGTTCAATTACGTACATCGAGAAAATGCTGACTGGATACCAAATAACTGGCAAAAGACTTGGTTTTTGTTGGATGGATGGTTGAATGTTTTATATTTGATTGTGTTCTGTGCAATTCTTTTTATTTGGAGACCAACTGAAAACAACAAGAGATATCCTTTTTTTATTCTATTTTTAAATTCCGTTAAAATTCGATACAACATATTTTTAATATCTTTATTTATCTTTAACTTAATTTTCATTTTACATTTGCGATGAGTGAGGAATTGATGCAAGATGACATTTTCGATGCGGAAAGAAATAGTAGTCGCCTATCGGAAAGTCCTGTTTATGAGCAGGAAAAGTACGGAAGTTCTGGTGGTGATCGCGGTGAAACTGAACGATTACACGATGGTGATGATGGATCTGTAGTGTTTGATATAGGCGATGAAAATGATGAGAAATCAACTTTAAGAGAAAGTGGAGAAATTAGTAATGCAAGTCGTGAGATGTTGTCTAGGTATAGTATTAAAAATTTATTATGAAAATTTAGAATAATGATATTTATTATTATTATTATTGTTATTAGGCATAGTAATGAAGATGAGACAAGTAATTATCAGGATGCTACAGGAACAGATTAATTACATATTTAGTTTTTTCAATTAATGATTAAAGTCGAAAGATTTCATAATACCCTCTGCATACTCACATTAAAAATAAATAAGTAAAAAAAAAAAAAACATAAAATACAATATAACGTTGAAGACATCCTTTTTATACACCACCTTTTTATTAAACCCAATTCCCAAAGAACATAGTTTTTGATATTTTATAAAACGTAATTTCGAATAAAATTTGAGATATTAATCCAATATAGTGGGAATTGACACCCTGAATAGAATTTTATTTATTATTTAACAATATTATAATTTTTTTTTTTAAAAAAAAAATAAGTAAAAACATTCTGATTTATTAAGAGTTAGCGTTCTTATGATTGGTTAATAATTCTACGATTGTTCATACCGTAAAATGCGAAACAACGCTCATGAGCGTTGTTTCGAATTACACCCTTTAAAAAACATCATATTTGGGTTTAGAATAATGCTCAGGCGCGTCTCGACATGTATTAACGGATTTGATATATGTACATTGGGTTCAACTTTTGGTTCTTTTATTTCAAAATAAGCACATGGGAGTCTCGGAATAACGCAAGGGTGCGTTATTTCGCGACTATAAGAAAGTTATTAATATGTAATTCTATCAACGCTATAAACCATCTCTATTAAAATAACCTCATTTTTTACATTTAGAAAAGTATCAGCTTCGCTTTGAGATGTTAATTTACTATATAGCTTTTCTAAAAAGAATATAGCTGTTATTTTTAATTAATAGAACTATACGTGCAATGTTTTTAAGTATATAAGTAGAATACAAAATGAATGCTAAGCAGCCCTACCGAATAATTGATTGTAGGGGCAATTAATTGCGATTTTTCAAGCTCAACTAATTAATTGATGGCGCAGTCACAATTAGTTAATTAGATAATATCGTACATTCACCACTACTACGATATTATTTTGATCTTTGATTTTTTCGCTGTTTAAAAGATCAGGTTACACCAATGAAAGAAAATTGCAATTACCGTAAAGTATGGAAAATAAGCACAGCACCCAATTTCAGATTAGCGGAAATAGCAATAGAACCTTTAATCAAGTTATTCCCGTTAGTCTGAAATTGAAAAGGCAGGGTAGAGGGTGCTGTGCTTATTTTCCATACTTTACGGTAATTACAATTATTTCGTCATTAATTGGGTTTCAATTAATTTTATGATAATTTTATTAATTGATTTTAATTGTATAGCAAAAATTAATTTAACTTAGTTTTTCGGCAGGCCTGATGCTAAGTGCACTTTCATTTTTGTTTAAAGAAGAAAGTCTCAAATATCCTTATCCAATCTTCGCATTTTTCTCAAACATTATATTACTACGCTATTACTATTATCAGCTGGTGATCAAATACTTTCTTATGCTAAAAGCGCGTAACGTAATTATGTATCTGCATTACTGTACCCGCATAGTGTTCCAAAAATTCTGTTTGGATTTCGGTTTTGAACAAAAATTCGGATTGGGTCACTTTATCATATGGGTCGTTTTCTAGGAAAACCACGGATTGAAGGGTAGTTTTAATTTTGAGAAAAATGCGATTAAATTTTAAGTAGCACAAAATTTAATCGCATTTTTCTCAAAATTAAAACTACCCTTCAATCTGTGGTTTTCCTAGAAAACGACCCAAATTCATTCATCCATTTCGGCCCATCCGACCAGGGTTCCGATGCATCCCGACCCGGAAATTTGGGGATTTCTCTGTATGAGTTCTAAAAATTATGAAATCGAACTCGACCTGAACGAGTTGATTTCAGTTCAGGTCTGCGAAAACTAGTATCATCAAATTTTGAATATTATCATGACATCTGATAAAAATTAGCCGAATGATTTTTCGACCGATTCGATTACAGCTGTTTTTATAAATTTTGGGACAACTGAAAAAATTATTGAAGTCGGTTACTTATTGATTCCAACTCGATTCGGTTATCATAAATTCTGGGACATCTGGCCGACCGAATATTTGCGATTCGATAAGTTTTGATTCGGCAGTTATCATTACCGAAAACAAACTTTGAGAATTTATGAAACCAGCCGTAATTACAGTTGATTCTCATAAATTCTGGGACAACTGAAAAAATTGCAGATAACCGAATCGATAAGTTCTTGAATTCGGTTACTTATTTCATTTATCCCAGAATTTGTGAAAAAAAATTTTTTATATGTTTTAACAATATGGTGAGTTTTGGAACAACTGAAAAAATTGCCGATGACCGAGTCGGTTACTTATTGATTCGGTCATCAGCAATGTTTTCAGTTGTTCCAGAATTTATGAAAACAGCTGTAATAAAATTTATAAAATTTTTATATATGAAATTTTTTTTAAAAAAAGCTGGTCTATTTAAAAGTTTCGTGTTATGAAACCAAGAAATTAAATTGAATTTATGCAATTGATGATCAGGTGGCTACTGTATTATTATAAGAACATCCGACTAAATCCGGATCTATGGTTAAATCCGGATCGGATCCATGATCGCTGATTTTTAGTCGAGGTAGGACCGTCCCGAGTGCCCCGATCTGTAGATCGTTACACAATTAATTAAAGATTTTTTTTTATACGTTTT